ACTGACAATGGTATGCTGGACATTTGAACGGCGTCCCTTTAGCTTGGAGACGTGGTACCGCAGGCGGTTGTCGTCGTCGGCACACCACGGACGGCCAGTCTTTGGGGCATCCTCTGGGCCCAGGTTGATGTTGTGCTGCCACGGTCCCAGGCTATTCTCACACACGTTTTTTTCGCTATCTAAACGTGCCAGCAGGTGCCTGGCCACAGCCTCCACTGATCGTCGGCTATCTTCGGCTGCCACCGATTTCTCCCCCAGCAGTGCCAACCTAGAAACCACGATGTTTAAAATAAAGACAACAATGCGGCAGTCACCATAACTGGACTTACTTGCTTTCAAGCAGAGCCAACATTACGTCGTAGGCCTCGATGGCGCGATCACTGCAGTTTAGCGCCAACTGCAAAGCAACAGCATTGGACTCATACTTTCCGCATAGCAGATACAGGTGCTCAGTGTGCTCCTTGCATTCGTCTAGCGTCAGTGCCAACATGGTGTTTCGCATCTCCAATTGTTCAACACGTCGTTGCAGCCGCTCCAAATCCTTGCTCAAATGCAGAGGCTCCATAAAGTTCTCCATGAATAGGTTTTGCTCCTTTAGCTCCGACATCAAATGTTCGACCAGATTAATTTGCTTAAAAGGATAATGGTTGAAATGTACTCGCTGAAAAAGGTTTGATCAACACACCTCGTTGCTCAAAGATGTATCTTGGGATGGATCTTCACCAGATTCATGTTTGCTGGCGCATCGCAACTTAACGCGTTCCGCCATTTTCGGTACCGCTGGGACACGTTTTTGCGGGCTTGTCAAGGAAGTGCAAACTGAAAACATCTGGTTTTTAAACCATGATAACATCGGGAAGGATTACTTGTATTACCATTCAAATCATTCAGTCGCTGTGCGCACTCGTTGACTTCTGATTCGCAGTCGAAGGCGACTTTGGTCTGCTCCTCGACCACAGCCGCATCCTTGGTGGAAATCTCGGACTGGAGAAGGGCGATTCGAGCTCGCAAGTGCAGAACTTCCTCCTGCAGTGCCTCCACTTGTCCCTTATGGCTAAGTTCCGGCGGTCTGTGGGCAACGTTCCCTACACTGGTGGTACTGCAGGCGCCTTCGAAGTCTTCCAGCGGTTCTGTCTGGCATTCGGCATCAGGATTGGTGAGGTTAAGCTCGGAGTTGTAAACTGAACCCTCCTGAAAGCTGAGTTCTACAAATTTGACTGTGTATTAGGGATTTGTTTCATTCATATGGAACTTGTACTCACCACTGCCCTCAGGCTCTTGCTCCTCCATAATAACGTGATCCTGCTTGCTGCGCAGCTTCTTGCTTAACTCTGCGATGACACAGTGCATCTCGGTGATGCGACACTCGTGGGCCTGGCTGACAACCTCCAAGCGCTTGTGGCATATTTCCCGCTCTGTGTTGCTCTCTGTGAGCTGCCTTTCCGCCTGCTGCAGTCGCTGTGTTAGATCCCGCACCCGGTTCTCCAGCTGCTGTACAGACAGTTGCTCAACCTGGGGGTGAATCAGAAGGAAATAGGCGGATTAGAGGTTTCTAGGTGGTTATCGTTGGGGTCATCACGTTTATGGGTCGCCTGGCCAGCGGATGAGCCATCAGCGTGTACTCCCAACTGCGTCTCTTGTCGCTGGGCGCCGATGGCGTATCGCTGCAGCACAGACAGCTCAGGCTGCGCGGAAGCAGTTGCTCCGCAATCATGGTCCAGTGGAAAATTTTGACTGACGATTACGTCGTCATCCGACCGCGGATGCATCCGCGCTCTCCGCCGTTGCAACTTGACCCTCAGCCTTCCACACGCATCTGCGCACTGGACGCCAACCGAATTTCAAGCCCAAAACACTTTAAAAACTAAGGCCTGAAATCTATGCGTTTCTTAGCAGAAAATTTAAAACAACCCTAATAATTTAATTTTAAAGTATTTTTTGATTAATTTTAAAATTTAATTTAAACGGAACTCTCTCCTTTCATATTTAGTACCTATGTACCAAAGCTAATTATAATATTGATTTTGTTGATTTCCGAGGTGGGTATTTATCTCAGTGTGGCACCATTACTCACTTTGTTGACAATGTCTAGCGTGGAGCAGCTGGATATGTTGTTGTCGCTTTCGGTGGTGTCCCGCTGCGTGTGCTCCGGCGAGTCCAGGTCGCAGGATCCCACCAAGTGTCTGCCACCCGGTCCTCCTCCGCGCGGCGAAATGCTACCGAAGACGTACTCGAAATCTTCGCCAGCCGCGCTGCCGGAGTGCTTGCCCTGAAATCCGCTGGAGTCGCGCTGCTTGCCACTGCGACGCGGCACATCGGTAGCTATCTTGGCCACCCGGGCGACCTGTACATCATTCGACATGGTGGCGGTGGGCGGCTGCAACGACTTCGCGACTAGAATTGGCCTGATTTTGGCCGCGTAATGATGACTTTCGATTGGTGCTCCATTCCCAGGATATGTGGCACTGTTGGTAACTCTACATGGCTCTTAAAAAGCGTGTCTTAAGGCATTTTTAATTCAAAAACTCGAAATTACTCCAGCCAGTCGGGATATTTATTGCATTCTTATCAGAAAATGTATACCCAGAAATGAGAGTGTGTGAGAGTGTGTTTATGCTGACGGTATACAACACTCAGAAATATCAATTATCGATAACATTGCCGCGCCTTTTGAACCTGTAAGCTAGACCCATTATATTTAACACAATACCGATTTAATAATGATTTCTTTTATATAATCTGGCTTTATTGTACGCTGTTGCGGTAATATACATATATTATATCTTTTGTCAACACTGAGATATGGTTCCATCTATTTCTTTGGGAGTTCTCAATTGAACTAGTATTTCTCTAAGGAATAGCCGCCAGATTCTCTGCTCGTATCGCCACCATAGCTTCGTAGTCCCGCATGTCCAGGTCGTGAAGTGCTTTCTGGACCAGAGTGGCCAGGTGAGGCGGCAGGTCCTTCAGATCCTCCATACGTTCCCGTGCCACTGCACTGGATATCCGCGGTGTGCCGTTGCAGCGGCTGCTCAGTCCGCAATTGCCGGAATCTGTTGTGGCGGATGAAGACTTCTGGAAGTCGTCGGGCTGCACATCTGCCCCATACACAGACGAATCCACGGACTCGGTTGAAAGCGAGGACATTCCATCGTCGGAGTGCAGAGCCTCAACGGACTTGTGCTTTTTAGAATCTTCACGATCCGCTGTAGTAGCGATGCCTTCATTATCTGGTTCAAGGGACGGAGTGCTGCTGATGTCGGCGTCATCAACCATGGCGGCACAATAACCATTGAGGAGCAGTTGGGAGGGCGCATAACCGTATTCCACGTCCTCCTCGTGCTCCTCGGTGTTGTCATCGTTTCCGGAGAGGAGCTGTTGCCACCGCTGCTCCAGCTCCGTCATCTTGCCAGCCAGTATTCTGCGGGAAATATGTTTTCAATCAAATATGTATGTTCTGACTTTGAGATGGATATTCCCACTTGTTGGTCTTCTTCTGGTGCGTCAGGGCCAAGTTCTTGTCGTTCAGATTGTCCAGCAACGCCAGACACAGGGATTTTAGGTCGCTTAAGCTCTCTGTTTTCTGTGGCAGATCAATGCCACTCTCGAGGATTGTTTTCACTGGAGTACATCAAATTAGCAAGGTGTCAAAGAGCTAGCCACCATATAATAACTCACCTTGCCGGGGGCTTAGAATGGTGTCCTCATTTGTGCCGCCACCGCCGAGTTTTACAATTCCCTTCTTTCTTTTTGCATCCAATATGGTCTGAATGATTTAAGCATAAATAACTAAATAAAATGGTAAAGAGTCCTAACTAATATAGTACCTTGTACTTATTGATGCTCTGTTTTGTGAGCTCCAGTTCGCTGTCTTGGATCTTCACACGTTCATGCAGGTACTTGTTCTCCAGCAAAACACCATCAATGTCCAGGAGCTGGAAGCGAAATCAATAAGTATCAATCAGTATCAATAAGTATAATTTGTTAACCCACCCTTGGATGCGTTTTCTTAGCCCTGAGGGCCACAAAGAGCTCATGATTAAGGCGATGTGCCTTGCACTTGTAGGCATCCCGCTCGGTGATCAGCTCCTCCTTCTCATCGATCACCGCCTTCAGGTCGAAGGCCAGCTGAGCATTCCGTTTCTTGAGTCCTTCCAGGTGGCAAATGAAGTTGGCCCGCTCTCGACGCCACTGCAGCTCCTCCTTGTTGCGAGCGGCATTCTCGCTGGCCATCGCCTGTACACGTGACTTGTTGCTGGCCTCCGTATCCCGGAGGAGTTCCATGTCGCCATGCAGTTCGTTGAGTCGCTGCCTCAGGGCTTCCACTTCTGTGCTGAGCTTCAGGTTCTGCTCCCGCGTCTCATGGAGCAGGGCTGCCAGGCTGGAGTTCTCGCTGAGGGCTCCGCATCCACCGACAGCCAGGAGTTCACTATTACTCTTCAGCGCGGAGTAGCGCAACTGCAGAGTCTCCGCCACCAGCTTGTACTGGTCTCGTTCCACGCGAAACTGCTCCAGCTCCTGGCGCAGGATCCTCAGGGCCTCCACCTTGCTCTGCAGTTTCCTGTGCACCGCCGAGGTCTGTAAGGGTGGGTCATACAGCACGCTTGGTTCGTTCGAGGGTGGGGGCGGACTCACCTCTACATTGTACGTGGCCATATGTTGACCGAATCCGTGTTGACTAGCCACATCGTCCATGTCCATGCCGAATGCTTAAGTGGGTTTCCGTATGCCGAGCTCTAGATGTTGGCATTGACAGTGAAAGGAAACTGGGGGCTGTCTGGACCCAGCTGTATTACACTTTCTCGGGCTCCAAGGACTCCATTCTGGCCCAAACACGCAGCTAGAGTGAATCAATTTTACATGCGCTTGCGCGGTAAGCCCTAAATGTAAGCTGCATATGTTTGAAATTCGATTCATATCGATAAGTATATTTTCACTGGATTTAAAGTAAATATTTTTGGTAACAAATAATTTCATTTGGAATTAACCAGACAAAATCATAAATTAAAAAAATGCATCATATATAGAAAACGTCTTGTTGTAATCTTAAGAAATCACCACCTTAAAATAGATTTATTGGAATATTTGCAGGAATACAATTTTATTCAGAAATACTCGTAGTTAGGTACGGATTTTTCGATATAAATGTCAAATTGGAACAAACCCCTTCTGGTGCACATATTTTTTGGCAACTCGACATTGCACTTAACACTCTTCTGCGAACGATTTTTACATCGGCAATTGTGGCCGTTTTAAAATCCATCTTTTCGACCAGCTTTAGCATGCATTTTACTTAAGATATATAAATGTACTTAGATTGAAAAGGAAAGATCTCGGACTTTGCCATACCTTTGAAACCAATCTCCTCATTTAGATCGGAATATGAAGGCATTCTTTCTATTAGCTCCTGACCACCTATCTGCCGTTCAAGTTCTTTTCCGGGATGGCTGAAAGAAGTATGTGATGTCCTTTGGACCTTCACCAAGTCCTGGATGTGTTCTTCCTTTGGTGGCACGATGTGAGACTCGCATTGCGTCCAGCATGCCTCTCTTATGTTGGCCGCCTTGCAAGTCCTACGAAGATGACACCTTCTTTTACTCGATTTTCGTCTTAGAACGCATAAGTTTATCACCGAGCCAGAAATCTTTTAGATCGTCTTATTTTTCTTACCCCATTTTTTTGTCCTTGGCTTTATTTTCCAATAAAGATATGATGCTGTGCTCGTTGTACGATAGCCCCGCAATCAACTTTCTATTGGTGCCCAGTAGTTCTTTCAATCCCCTTATATGGCTATTTAGCTTTAGACTGTATGCTTCTATTCTGTGCAATGCCTTTTCTGCATTATTCAAGTGATCATTAAAGGAATGATGTGACAGCGAAATAGAATCCCCTTTTGTCTCCACAATCATGTCGTTGCAGTACAATGCTAGCCGAAATAAAGCTATATTGCTTATTTTTTAGAATTTAGAATTTTAGGGATATGACTACTTACGTAAAAGCTATATACTAGTTATATAGACGATACTGAAAGTGCACAAACATTCAAGGAATACATTAAGTCTTAGGGATAGGTTAAGAACTAAGATATTCAGCGGGAGCTCATGGCTTTCGCAATGGTGACCATTTTGCGCACCACGTTAGAGTTGGTTCCATAATAGGGGTCTACGTCCTGTTTGCCCATGGTCACGTCGCACTCCATTCGCGTGGTGGTGGGCGCCACATAGTCCTCGCCGGCAGTGTCCTGGGCGGAAGCGTGAAACTCCAGGCAGCGACTGACCGTGAGGATCTCCTCCAGGTTGGACACCTTGATGCCGGCGCCGGGCATTACTATGAAGTCCCTTTGATGTTTGGCTATCAGCTGTGCCAGGCAATCCACACCATCGGCAGCCGTGGGTCGAAATCCGCTGCTCAGCAGACGTCTAAAGCCTAGTTCCCGCAACAAGTGGACATTTTCGTCCATGGACTTCTGGTCAGTGAGGTCGAAGGCGCGGTGAAAGGTCACTGGCAGACCACCCGACGCCAGCAAAACGTGCCGACACTGATCCACGTTGATGCTGCGATCCGGATTCAGGGATCCGAAAACGAAGCCATCGGCACCGTTTTCCCGCAACAAGTCCATGTCCGTAAGCAGGGCGCACATCTCTTCGTCGCTGTAGACAAAGTCGGTGCCCCGCCGTGGTCTCAGCATGCAGTAAATTGGGATTGTGAGCGTTTCCTTAAGGGTTTTCAAGGTGCCAATGCTAGGTGTCAAGCCACCTTCTCCCAATGCCGAACACAGCTCAATCCGCGAGGCTCCGCCAGCCTCGGCGGCAAAAGCAGATCGGATGGAGTCCACGCAGACCTCCAACTTTATTTCGTGGCTGGACATTTCTCTTATCACTGATAAACGGACAGGTAAACAAAAATAAACGAATTTATTTCGCAGATCCGATAGATCGATGTAAGTCAGCTGTTTTTGCCAGCAGCTTGTACAAAAACAATCGATATATAACCGAGCAAGATATGTTCATCGATAAAAACCAGTTAGTTTCCAGTGTTGAGTAGTTTGACGGCACGAAAAGCAACACTGTGCTTGTGCTGTTGTGAACAATTTTTGTTAATTTTTTAATTTGATTTGCGAGCGTCGTGCGAGCGAAGCGACGGACATTGCACGGAACGGGAACCGCAACTGGGTTCCTGCAGCATGCGCCAGGACACCTAGGCACCAGTAGAGAAGACCAAGCGCACTAGTAGCAATGACAATGGGCGAGCCCACGTCGTCTCTCGTTCTGCCCGTCATACTGCGGCCCATTTTCTCCCAGGTAGGTGAAACGGTCCCAGGTGCTCAGCTCAGCTCATCTCCGCTCTGCTCTGCTCTGCTCCGATCCCGAGAACCCAAAACCGTGCCTCCAAACCCTTCAGCCCCGCCAGATCGGGGCCTGTTGCGTAAACCCTTACATGGGGTACTTGGGTTTGTAATTGCCTAACGTTGTGTACGTTTACCTGCAGCTCGAGCGACGCGACGTTGGCGCTGCCCAATCTCTGCGCTCCGCCATTCTCAAGTCGGAGCAGAACAATCCGGGCTTCTGCTATGACCTCGTAGCCACAATTGTGCGGCGGGCCGATCTGAATGTAAACCTAAACGAGGCCGTGCTCCGATTACAGGGCAAAATTACGGAAGCGGACCGTAAGTAGCCACGCCAGCAGCTAAGTTTCTTGGCTAACGACGATTCCCCCTTCCACAGTCAATGAATACCGCTTGACTCGCACGGAGGAGCCGTTCCAGGAGCTCAACCGTAAATCCGTGGCTCTCAAGGTGATACTCAGCCGCATACCCGATGAGATAAACGACAGGAAGACCTTCCTGGAGACCATCAAGTGAGTAAAAACTCGAAATCAAGCTAAAACGCAGTACCTAAGAGAGTCTAGCTTTAAACTTACAACGTAATTTCACTGCATTTTACAGGGAAATCGCCAGCGCCATAAAGAAACTGCTTGATGTGGTCAACGAGATCGGCTCGTTCATACCTGGCGTAACGGGCAAGCAGGCTGTGGAGCAGCGGAAGAAGGAGTTTGTCAAATATTCCAAGAAGTTCAGCACAACGCTGAAGGAGTACTTCAAAGAAGGACAGTAAGTATGAAGAATCACCTGTAGTTACTTATTTACAATTAGTGTTATCACACGATACTTTGCGACGCCAAGACAGCCGGTTTCTTTAATCGGCTCATATCTGGTTTCTTATCGTTTCGGGCCAACCGTATGGATGATGTCATTCCGTTGGAATTCCGGGTATTGTTTGGCTTATCATTTTGCGGCGGAGATTGGGAGGGGCGGATATTAAGCCAGAGACCCGCCTATTTTAAATTTTAAATTGCTTCGATTATGTTCTGATGGCTATTATTATTATTATTATTACGTTGACCTTTTCGTATAATTGAGGCCGATTAGCATTATTAATTCCAAGGGTTACAGCAAGGATTTTCTAACCGATTCTCTTTGATTTTATCTATTTTCAGACCTAATGCAGTATTCATAAGTGCACTTTTTCTAATACGGCAAACGAATCAAATAATGCTGACAGTTAAGAGTAAATGCGAGTAGAGAATTAAATCCTTTAATTATGGCAAATTTTAGTGGCATTTTAATTTTATGTTTAAATAACGATTTAACAACCCGAACCCAACCCCAAACAATTCAAATAAACTCAAGAGAGAACACACACTTAAAAACACAATTGCCGACACAGTCCAAGTTAAATGTTTGAACGCAAATGAAAATCTGTTGTAACTAAATAAATAGGCCTAATTTATATGGTATATATGTATTACACATACTCGGACACTAAATTCTGCGAAGCCTAAGCATTGTAATTAATTAGTGAGGATCTATTTATCGAGACGGACGATGTGTGCGAGAGTTTCTTTTTCGTTTACAATTTATTGTAAATAATTCCTTATTTTTCTGTTAGAAACAACAAAATCGGCTAGTTTGTTTTTGTTTAGGAGAAGCGCCTACGAATAAATTTAAAATTAGTGGAAAAAAACGAGAAACAGGAAATGTATGTACTACGAGGAGAAGACAAACAAGAACATGAACGGAACACTTAAATTTTTAACTGTTTTTAATTGTTAGAGTTTGAAATTTAAACACTATACATAATAATCTTTTACTTAATGATATGTTCTATTTGAAAACTGCGAAAGCGAAAGACATTAGTGGCTGACAGCACTATTAACAGAGGATAGAGAAGAAAATTATTTTAATTAATAAAATGTTATATGAAAATCGAACACTAAGCAAAAGTAAAAGAACGGCAACAAACTCATAATGTAGACATAGCGAAAAGAAAACGACAAATAAATGTATTTATATTCCAAAACTGAAATGAGTGTTTTATATCCAACAATTGCTCGTTTAAAATGTTATGTAAAATGACTTTAAAATTTTTTGTCTTAGGTATGATATTATCTTGGTATAATTCAAAATTATTGTTTGTATTATTGTACCTTAGTTGTTATTCCAATCTGAGAATTGGTATAAGTTAAAAGTACCTTTGTTGAGTTAAAGGTACCCAAGAATGGATTTCAAAAATCTCAGATTGATTTGAAATCAACATCCCAGATTTCCACGCACAGGACGCTAACAGAGGAGGGCGCTGTTAACGGATAACAGCCTGAAGTAATAGTAAACCCCAAATAACAGGCCCTGGGCAGAAAGTCACCCACTTGCAACCCCAAAGGAGTCCGAGAGCGGGAGAAAATTGCCCGTTTTTCAGTGTCATTTGGCTGAAAAATCGATTCCCCGCACACTGGATGGTGGGCACTGGGTACTGAGTGCTCGGTTCTGGGTTCTCTGGGCCACTCTGCTCTGGCACACTGAGCACCGAGCTGGCAGTTGGGTAGAAATCAGAGTACAAGCCAGCAGCGCGACCGAGATGACCCACTTTTCGGTATTCGCACTGAGACCCAACTGCTACTACCCACTGAAAGTGGACAACTAGGCGGAGTTTTTTTCTATATAGTAGCAGTGAAGCGATCGCGTTTTTCGGATATATTATGTACAGCCTACGTAGCCTAGTGTAAACTATATGCATTTATGTGAATTTCCCAGCGCAAACGTGGAAGAGGAAAACAGGCGACCTGAAAAAGCAGCAGCAGCAGCAGCAAGCAAGAAGCAGAAGCACAAGCAGCAAAAAAGGTTCGCAACCCGTTCGAAAAGCCCCAAATATAAAACAAAAAAAAATTATTACAAAAAGTTAACCTAAAAATAAGAATAAAATCCTGTGCTTCCGAAAACCAATCCGCAATTTAAGCAAAAAGTGCCAAAATCGCGTGGTAAATACTTATTTTGCGCAAGCTGAAAAAAAAAAACTGTTATGCGAGCGAGCGAGCTCACGAAAAATTTCGCTGTACACCAAATGTTTCCCCAACAGCACCGCTGCTGCGTGAAAATTCCATTTTCTCGCCAATAACGGAAAAAAGCTCGCCGCGAGTGCAGTTAAAAAATCCAGTGAAAGATATAATGGTTCCGGGAAAATGGTGGGCCAGTGAAAAGTAAAAGTGTAAGCATATCGATAAAGGAAGAAAAGCGAAAAAGAGCAGTCAACGTAAAACTACACTCTCCCACACACACACACACACACACACATACATATACAAACATATACATATACACACTCGCCCACTTGCTGATGCATATACAATATGCAAATGCGGGTAATCACTGTAAAACCAAGGCAGGCGAAATGGTGAATGAAACCGAAATTATAGAAAAATGCCTAAATAAAATCGGAGAAATTGGCTAAAGGAGAGTTCGGCTACATTTTGGCATAAAAAAGCGCGCACCCACACACACTCACGCATACACCCGCAACACACATACAGCGAAACCGAAAAGAGCGAGAGGCACGTAAGTAAAGTAGATGTAAATGGACAACGAAACTGGAGCAGCACCAATACCACTGCAAGTGCCACAACGGCAGGAGCAGCATGTGTGTGTGTGAGCGTTTCATATTCATAAGCTTCCAGCAGCAGCAGCACCAGCAACACCAGCAGCAGAAAAGTCCCACTTTTTGGGTTCGCACTCTGGGGGCGGTTTTCACTTCACACTTGGCCCACAGCCTGCGCAACAACAATGTTAAAGTTGTTTGCTGCTGCGTGCGTAACACACATACTACATACTACATACACATGTACATTGTACACCCCTACACACACGTGTGTATGTATGTACGCCTGCATGTACATACAAATGTACACAAAAGGTATCTACAGCGTGCATGTGGTTAACGTTACCTTCTCTGGAGCGGGGTTTTACTACCCGTAACAGCACTTCCCACCGATTGAGTGCTTTCACGCATTTCGTATTTATTTATAGCCCACTGTACCCAGTTTGCGCTGCAATGATCGACAGTCACGCGTCCACAGCCTGGTACACTGTGCGGATACTTAATACCATGTTATCGCATCAAAGACGGAATTCCTATGAAGTGAATAACTTCTTCGCGTCGTACTATTTATAAGCTCAGCATGGGTTTTGTAGATAACTAATTAATTAAAGTTAGCGAAAAGTAAATTATCAGGTTACATGTTGCATATACACTTTATACTTTCTTAAATATTAGACGTTTAAGTGTGCCACTATTCAGTCAAAGTTTCTTATAAGCCAATAGAAAAATCTCCTCCGTTGTAAAATATAAAGAGGTTCTTGGAAAAGAAAAGCCATTATAATTTTATTGGATTTTTTTCGAGTAGGATTAATCGTTGAATTTTGCCAATTTTGACAGATGGCAATCATTCAATAATTTATACGCTGGGCTGCCAGCCAAACTGCGGCCATGAGATGTCCACAGGCGGGGATCCCCCAGCTCCTCTTCCCGCCCCGCTTGCCACTTGCCACTTTCCACTTCCCATTCCCCGGTTTAGTTTCCCACCCCATAACTGTGCTATGGTTTTTTTCTATAGTATTTGTGCGCCAGAAGCGACGAAATTGGTGCGACTGTGTGTGTGCAGCTTGTTATAAATAGGCAAGATAGTTTTTGTGCTCGTGTACTGGTTCGTTTTTTTCCTTGGCTCTGCGATTGAGGTCATGCCAGCAGCAGGATAATGAACTTTTCCCAACATCTTGAACGTAATTGTAATTGTAATTGCTCGACTTTAAAAAGTTTCTGCTCACCGTGTTATTTTTAGGACCTGCCACTCGTCATAGGCTCGAGTACTTTGTCGACTATTTATGCATGTAATTGTTGGCAATGGTGGGAATGGTGGCAATGGCTGTTGGCCCCCGGCCTTCATCGGCTTTAATTGCAGCAATTAGAAGCACTTGATTGTTATGACCCAAGTGTGTGAGCATTTAATTAATTGAACGACAGCTCATTAAGGCATCAAAGAGCGGGCAGTGGTGCTTTAAATCTTTCACCGATCTTTAATAGAGAATAAATATTAGCTTTGTAGGGCCACCTTTTCCATTTTCCGTGGGTTTGTCGAGATGCTAATTAATTGCCTTTCTTTGGAAACTTGTCTGTCAACACAAGGTGGAAATTGCCATTTTGGGTTGCAACTTTTGTTCTCCGTCTTTTTCTTGGTTTCTGGGCACTTCATTTTAAAGTAAATCAAAGTTGCAGCGCGCCAAAAACTGAAAACGCAACAAAGTTTTTAAATTAGTTTGTTGAAGTTTGCGGCCAACAAAGTTGGCAGGAATTTCTCGTCTTTTTTTTTGTGGCTTTTTGCGAGCCACGAAAAGTCAACGAATATTGTTTTAATTACGACTTTTGCATATTTCACTTGTCGCTATACATTTGCAAAGGAAATATCGCATACGCCACGTTGTGCGAAAATAAAGATACTGAGATGGCGGCCATACCTTCTCATTCCCAGCTTTCTCCCTGTTAGATAATGTGGCTCAGTTCCGAGTGAATGGGAATTTTCCATTTAATTTACTCCGATGGCCACAACGACTTTGGCCAGAATGTGGGTTAATAGAGTGTAAAGCAGCGCCAGGCCGCAACCCAGTTTCGGGTGGTTTGCTAGGTTCCATCGGCCCTCCTGAGAGGCTGCCTGGTGCGCAGTCTGACGCTCCAGCTAATCTGCACTTTAAGAACTCATTAAAATTTCAAGCCTCCTCTCAGCGCCACCAGACATCGATGCCTTCTCCTTCTCGAGGAACGCACAGAGGCCAGAGGTTAAATGTTTAATTGCTAACTAGATCGCTTCATTTATCTACAGCATTTTAAGTAAATAATAGCCAAGGATTTCAGTTTAAACTCATTTGAAGAGCTAAGAGGCTAAAGCAAAGGCTAAGAGAGACTCATTTGATTAATAATAATATTAATTCTGACGATTTTTTCGCCTTAACTTGATAAGTTATTAGCTTAACGTGACGTACATTTTGGCGAATTAATGGTTTGATGGAACGGACCTTTAACCAAGGATAATTAATTCATGATGCTTTCAATTTTGCGCTGTGTTTGGGAGGCTGGCAAACAAGTCGCCTGTGACGTAGGCTCCTATTGCTGTGTGTGTGCGTACATGTAGGAGTCAGTGAGTGTGTGTGGGTGTGGGTGTGTGGAGATAAATGGTGCCAAGCACTGCTCAAGTCCCGAAAGTGTGCGGCAAACGGTGGGGTGCTTAAAATAGTCACCGACAGGCACAGGCAGACACTATCGCTGGGTGCCCGGCGGAGGGTTAAGGCAGGACGAGGGGAATGCTGGTGGAGGTGTGGGGGGAGTAGGAGGAGTAGGAGAAGACGAAAGTGGCTTGGGCTGATGTTGTGTTTGAAGACAAACAAGGAAATGACAGCGGCCGGATAGCAATCTGAGGATACTGCCGGACAAAGGACACGCCAAATATATAAGATATTAACTGGAAAAAATACCCTTTCTGTTACATTAAAGGAAATAATGGGCTTAATAATCTTATTCAAATATCTCAATATGAGAACTAAAGAACAGGAAATTTAATGGAAATAACCTATTGCATTATATGTCAAATTTTTTCACTAAATAAGATTCAAAGAAAATAGTATTGCATACTTCTAGGCACCTTAGTAAGGCAGTATTATCGCTTAAGACTTTATTCTTTCCGGCATAAAGATACTACAGCTTAATGTGTACTATTTTATTTATTTATGTTTATTTCGTGGGACATTGTATTTTTAGGGAAATCCTTAGGGCTTGCTAAAAAATTCCGTTTCTTTCTGTGTGCTTTTACAACTCACATCAACAAAGGCCTCTCGGCCACATCGCCTTCAATTGCGAAATGCTTGCAATGCGCTTCATCATAATTAAAAATCCTGCGGCCCACATGCACACCCACCCAAGCGCAAATACTCCCACACACGCACAAGGCAAACATGGCCACACTGGCTGTGAAATGTTAACGCTTAACAGAGCAGCACAACAGTAATAGCTCTGCTAACAGTACATATTCTCTGCACATGCGTGAACTCGTTCTCTCTCCAGAGGGACATTTTCTCACTGGCTCACTCGCAGCCTATATAGCTGACCTCCTCGAACGGTTACACTCGACTATCTCTTTTACACTTCCGAAAATTAGAGTATAACCATTAACAGCGCCAAACAGTAACAGTAACAGTAGTAGGGCAAATGTGCTTCTACTTGTTTTTGTTGTTCTTGTGCAGTTGTAATACTCACACACACAGCCATACATGCACACACACGCGCTCGCACTATGCATAACAGCAACTAGTGGCTGTGCTTCTCCCATCGCTTTTCCCAGTTCGCATTTTCCATTTCCCTCTCACATTCACATTCAAGTCGCGCTACACTGCAGTTGTGTCAGTGAGTACTTAATATTTATGGTGTACGGTGCATAGTGTATAGTTGAAGTGGAATGACAGGACATCAAGTCGCTGTGATTGTCAGTTAACGAGATAATTACTGCGATTGCGGGTCACCTGGAATACGTAATTGAGCCCCCTCATTTAACTTTGTAAGCCTTGGCGGAAACGTGGTCAAGAAGTTTTCGCGCAGATTGCAGAAGAAGTTGTTATTCGATTTTAATGTTTTTTTTTACCTTTTAAAGATAAAATCTTGAAAATAAACCCATCCTTGCAAATCAGGAATCACAATGCTTTACAGTAACAGGATGTTTTATGTTTAACACCCTCCTTGAAATAAATTGTAATTAAAAGAGCTCTAAAGAACCTGTAGATGGATAGAGTCCTGTAGATAGACTTAAGGTATTAGCTGTATCCAAGCAACACGGTGCTCATCCACCTATATAAGTTGCCATTAAAATGCCGTTGTGGGCAGTGCTTGAAACCGGAAGGGCGTTTCGCAAATGCCAAAGACTTCCGTTTGGTTCCGGCTAAATGCTGTCATGCAACCGCCCACTAGGGCGGGGCTCCACCAACACGAATTCCGAAAGCAAAAGCATCCACAACAACGCATCAAAGGCGAAAGGCAGCATCCAGGCATCATCACCAGCCGCATCATCCCCATCATCATCATCATTGGCACTGGATAAACGCTGTCATAGCTTTTAAATGTCAGGCATCCGAGCCATCGGTATCGGTCCACATAAACAGTGGCATTGACAGCCCACCGAGTGGGTGGTGCAGTGGATGGTGCAGTGGGGGGTGCGTGGGTGGTGCACGGGGTGATGCAGTGGTGGTCCACTGCCTTCCGATGGATGCGAGCTTTGATGTATTAAACACAATTTATCGATGCAGCGCAGCTCTGGTAAATGGATTTCAATTTTGTATATCCTGCATTAAATGATTGGATTAAGGTTTCGGCTATGGAAGACCTTAAAATGCCAACCGGCCGACTTCCCTTAGCACTTCCTCAAGCGGATCCAGCATGATTACTGTATCTATTCATGCCGCCGTCTAGACAAACTGGCGCCTTCCATTGTGGAATGTCGTGCCGTATGAGTAATGCAACTCTTCGGTGCGTATGCGTAATGTTTGGGTTGACTCAGTTCGAATTTGTCTGCCTGCTCAAAAGCAATGGAAAAACATTTTTAAACATGTCTAAGACGAATTGAATTAGAAATCATTTTAAATCAGCCTCTGGCATACCGATAAACCATAAACCATAAACGACAACTTGTATTGCAAACTGTGAAATTGAGATAAGCGATTTTGTAGGCTGTGTGTGGACAATAAATACGGCCAGGCAGGCAATTAACCCAAAGTTCAAAGTTCGCCACACTACACAATCACACACGCACACACATACACATACTTACTGACCCCCAAGGACACGTGCGTGCCAGGCAGCTGACCTATTTCCACGCTCGCCAGGCAGAAGCCACCAGCCATAAGGCGCATGAATAAATAAGGGATAATAGTTATAGCAGCCAAGTCCTGCAGTCTTGGCCCAGCGGCAGCTCGCCCATTCGTCCTGCTGCAGATGCACTGACCCCGTTCTCATGTGCGATTATCGCTTCCATTGCAGTCGTCCGAGGGGCAGCCACAGCATGCCGTACGAGTCGATGCACCATCATCAGTCGGCGGCCGCTGCCGTGGCCGCTGGCACCACCCCCAACGGAATGCTGGACGCCCTCAGCCTGCAGCTGCGCGATGCCGAGATGCGGCGCACGGAGATCGAGCGGGCGCATCAGGTGAGTGTCCTTCCAGGCGTCATGAACTCATGCACATCTTGACCAGTGGCATTTCACCATCATTTCGGGATTTATAGTTCGTTCTTTTTAAACAAAATTGTAATTATACATTCCATCCCAGGAAACCCTGGCACAAATACGCAATCTGAGCGGCAGCGCACGTCCCGATGCCGAGGCGGTGGAGAACCTGCAGTCGAGAGCCCGGGAACTGGAAAAGAAGGTGACTATATATGCCCCAATCATACCTTCTGAATCGTAACATGCCGTACATCCGTACATCCGTAGGTTGCGCTGGAAAATGTGCGCTGCGAGGAGCTGCAAATCGAACTGACCTCGGCTCTGAAGGCCAAACAGGCATCCCGCTCTGCCTGCTCCGGAATGGGCAGCGTGTCCTCCGGTGGCGGCGCAACCATTCCTACATCGGCCAGCAGCTCCACCGTCACTTGGGCACCGACAATCAGCCACCAGGACCAAGGAACCGAGATTGATATCATAATGGCAAAGATTGAGCAGGTATTTAGATAGAATTAATCTGTCTAGAGTGAAAATGGTATATAGTGCTTTATGAAAGTGACAAGATCGTTGAAAAGACAGCAATAGTAGCAGACAGCGAGCAGTGTGTAGATAGTGTAGCCTCGAATAAAATTATATTTCGGGATGGAAATCGATGGGAAACATCTGGGAAAAGATCGAGCTTCCAGCCCGAATTACAATTTATTTCAATGTTCAGAACCCAAGTCCAGTCCAACAACGTAAACAGCCAGTCTTCAGTGTTTTAGTGGGGCAGGAACGTGTGTGGTTGAGGTGCCTAGTCCTCCAGGTTGCAGGACTTCTCCTCAGCATGCTCGGCCAAAGCCTCCTGAATAAAGCAAGTTACTTCCAGCTCACTCAGCAGCGATTCGTTGGAGGAGTACTCGGAATCATCCTCCATGTGGCTCGGCGAGAGGCAGGACAGGAAGCTCTCAATGCTGCAGATGCTATTCGCCCGGGTGGAATCCGGATATAAGGAGTCATTCAGTCCGATCTGGGTGCTACTTTCGCTGGAGCCCAAGTTTCCCTGGCTGAACAGCTCATCGGTGCTACTGATCTGCAACTGGCGGCGCATCTGCTCATTTTCTCCGGCCAGCTGGCAGATGATCTGCTGGTTCTTCTCACTGCTCCGATCGTCGAAGTCGGCCGTCAGCTTTATCATCTCCACCATACGCTCGATTCGGGCATCCTGCTCTTGGACCACCTTCTCCAATCCGGCCAGGTAGTTCTCCTTCAGCTGGTAGCTATCGATGAACATGTCCCCTTCGCCGTGCTCCCGGTACTTCTCCATGACCAGCGCAATGCCTCTTTGGAACTCAGCGCGGGTCTCCTTGAGCTCGATGTTTTCCCGCAGCAACTGCATCTGCTCCTCGTCGTTATTGCGCTCCGTCAGATACTTCAGTAGTTGCTCCTCGCGAAAACTGCGACAGTCGGCCAACTTCTTGTCCACCTCTTCGGCATCGATTAGCAGCTCATCGGTCTTCATCTCCAGTTCAGCCAGGCATTTAACTAAATCCTCAGCCTTCTTGATTAGTGCGCCTTCCGCTCCGAAAGGCACCGGGCTGTCCATCCTGTCCAGCCGGTCGATCTGGTTTGGACTGCTCACGGTGAATTTGGATGATTTTGTTCGATAGAAAATGGATTCCTTTGGACTTCTCTGACCAGTTGGAGAAAGAGAGAGTTTACCAGTCAATGGTAAAGTCAAAGCCTACTGATAATATATTTACTTTTCCCAGCTTGCTAGAGGGTTGTCACCATAGGGTTTTCAGTTGATTCTACTTATATTTCCATTCATTTATGCATCCCTATTGCCTTGCAGGATAACCGCGTGCTGGCCGAGCTGGAGCAACCTCGCACCTCGGCCAGCGCCAGCATGTCAGCATTGCCGCCCAGTTCCATGTTGAGCACGGTAAATAGCGAATTTAGAACCATATCAAAGAGTGGTAAGTCTGCCAAGATAACCATAACTCTGAAGTAGATATTAATGGACTGTGTTTTACTCGCAGAACTCGAAGAAGAACTGAACCGCTACAAAAGAGCAGTTTTGGGAGGAGGCGGCGGAGGAGGTGGCGGTGGTGTATCCGCCCTGTCCTCCGGCTACTCGAGTATACCGCAATCGCTAGCCTCCACGCTGCCCAATGGAGGCGCCAGCACCAGCTTGAGCGGCACCAGCCTTGGCTCGCACAGCGCTGCCGCCGCTGCTGCCGCCCACAGTGTATCCGCTGGATCGGGAGGCGTGGTCGGTGGCGGCGGCCAAGGCGGCCTATCATCCATATCGGCCCTGGTGCCCAACTCAATCAGCGGCATATCCTCGAGTCTGAGCAGCCATGCCATTCAATCCATGCAGTACGGAGCCGGACAGACGTCCGTGGAGAAACTGCTGAGCGGAACTAGTGGAATCACTGGCATTCCACCCCTGCCGGTAAATATTCACACGATGAAGGCTATGCCGACGGCATTAAGTCAGGTAAACCAGCTATTTTCAATCGCAATGAACTACGAACAACAACAGCAACCACAGCAATTATGTACTATGTACCGCTGCCGATCGATTTGCTTCAAGCTTGCCACATCTAGAAAGTGCTACATATGTATATGCGTTATAAGTTGTATGTGAATTCGATCCGTTTGAGTAGCCTATAGCCTAGCCATATAGCATATAGAGCGACCATCCGCTTCTGTTGATCGTCGCTGCTGCAGCCACCGGCCGTTTGTTGTAGTCTCATTACTGATGAAAATAAAAACACGCACTTTTGAAGCCACCCACCAAACTGAATCATTACACGAGTCACAAACACCCATTGACAACTAAATTGAGTAAATTTGAGTATCTGTATTCGACCTTTGATTGCCTGTTACACAAGTATTCGTTGTATCATTGAAATCAATTTCGCTGGCATGCTATATATTTTATTCAGATAAAACACATGTATGATACATCGAGGATGTTATTAGTCACTAATATTATTCAATCCACCTGATTATATATTCATATATCATTGGCCATGCACAAATCGAAGAAATACTTCTAATATCCAGCTTATTTCTTGCGAACTGCTTAGAAATTATAATAGTAACTTATTATTTTTGAAGCATTTCTTCGAAGATCATATGTTGTTAAACCGATTGTACACAACCATGCTCATGCATCTGCTGCATTTACAGACATACCAACATAAACATACATACTAAGTTTGTATCTTTTGAAGGAGTTACATATTTGAAAGCTTTCCGTTACTCGTTGTTAAACTTTTTGATGGTGATGATTGGATGCTAGCCGTGTTGCATAACCATGAATCCTCGCTTGGAGACGGCTTAAGTTAATTGCAGAATCAATAACCAAACCACTCATGACCAGCCGAAAATCACCACCAACATGCTCAGTTGTTCATGCATAGATGTCCATTTAAGACGTTCTAGATGCCTTTTTCCACAGGCAGCCGAATAAACGTGTATCTGTGATCTCTCTTTCCGTTTTATGTGCTTTCTCTGTCTTCCCTTTCTCTCTCTCCCTCTCTCTACTCTCTATAACGATGAAATCTCCAACTCGATCCCCATAACTCCGATTATGATTGATCCGCGCTCAAAATCAATCAATCAATCAATCAATCGACTCGATCTATATGTATGTCTGCATCTGTATCTTTGTGTGTGTGATCCTATGTTTGTGTAACGACACCTGTACAAATACCACAAACACCACAAATACCCTGTAAATTCTGAAAAACAACGAATATTCCAAATTCCACACAAAAAAATAAAAACACACAACACGGCAACTGAAATTTGAATTTGAAAAAAATCAAATATCGAATCAAATCGAATCGAACCGAGAAGCGCGGAACAATACAGCTGTACAATTTGCAGAGCACAACCATGCCCCTCCTGTCACTCAACTCGCATAACCTACCGCCCGCCGGCTCGACGAGCTACTCGGCCCTGGGCGCCGGTGCCGGCTCCTCGCTGACGCACCCGACCATGGCCAATCTGGGTCTGCTGGACACCGGCACCCTCCTGGGTTCCGCCGGCTTGAGCGGATTGGGCGTGGGCCCTGGGGTCGGCGGCATCACTGGAGCCACATCTCTGTATGGCCTAAGCGGCGGCGGAGGAGCCGGTGGCCTGGGCAGCTCCTATGGCCCGCCCTTTCTGGACGTAGCGTCGAGCGCCTCGTATCCATTTACCGCGGCCGCCCTGCGACAGGCTTCCAAAATGAAAATGCTGGACGAGATCGACATACCGCTGACGCGGTACAACCGCAGTTCGCCCTGCTCACCCATTCCGCCGAACAACTGGGGACTGGACGAGTTCACCGACGGCCTCAGTGTCTCCATGATGCACAACCGCGGCGGCCTGGCACTGGGTGCCCTAGATTTGGACAGTGAGTATAATGGATTACCCAATACCCAACCACGATTAAAATCAATTTCCCATCTGATAAACAGCTCGCAATCATGGCCTGAATGGAGCCAGTGAACCGCAGGTGGATATGCTCGATATTCCTGGAAAGGGCCGCTGCTGTGTGTTTATAGCCCGATTTCCCTATGATCCTCCAGAGTAAGTAGTCACGGTTTTTTATTACATCATACTTAAATGCCATTTCCCTACTGCATAAAGTTATAAAAGTCATTTTGCACGAGAGAATATCATTCATCAATCTTTGATTCGTTAACATAGATAAATTAAATCCAACACGATAGAATAAATTCAACAAAATTTATGATATTCAGTTTATTATTTACTTCTTTTAAGCTTTTGTAATGATAATCAGAGATCATTAGGCAGACCATTTAAACACAGATATTAATATCAAATTAGTAGAACCGCCTAAAAGTATGCAATACATTCGCGTAACTTTGCTTACCTAGATAAGCAACCAGTCGTATACGCGATATTATATTTCCGTAGCTCACTAGCACTTTATCGATTAACACTCAATAGACTAACAGTCAACACTTCTTAACTAACCAATGAGTAATAAATACAATATTTAAACGATTTTCCTTATGCGCAATCCTTAAACGATCCTTCCAACGGTTGTATGATTAACCGAACCTCTACCGAGAACACATGAGATTAACCTTTGTTATTTTCAGTGTTCATAATGAATTCCTTTCCATGCCTTGCAGGGAGGCTGAGGGCGAGCTCTCCCTGTGCGCCGGCGACTATCTGCTGGTGTGGACCAGTGGTGAGCCCCAAGGTGGCTACCTGGATGCGGAGCTGCTGGACGGGCGACGCGGCCTCGTTCCGGCCTCCTTTGTGCAGCGCTTAGTAGGTGGGTAAATGCTTCCCAAGTCTAATACATAGCTCTCCCACGATCTCTGCCTGCTATTAAGAACCGCACTGTATCTGTAACTGCATCTGTAACTGTATCTGTATCTGTATCTGCTAGGCGACGACCTGCTGGAGTTCCACCAGGCGGTGCTGTCGACGCTGCGCGATGCCGAGGACGGATCGATGCAGTGCGACACCACGTCGCTGCCCTCCTTGCCGCCGCACAACCCATTGCTCACACACACCCACGAGGATCTGGCTCGCTTGAGTGAGACGCACACCGATCTGGAGCACGACCAGGACGACATCAGCGACAATGGTAACTATTCCCGGTCCAAAATTGGTCCGCCTAGGTCCTATCAACTTGTTAATCTTTTGGTTTTTGTGGCGATCCTCGAATGCGTCGCCCTGTGCATGGCATGAATGTGAGCATAATTTAGACCCCTGATTAGATACCCGTTCCCCGATTTAATCCACCTTTGAGCCGTTTTGGGGCATCGCTAGCACCTAGTCCGCTGCATTTGGAGCTGCGCTATTGTCCCTGGGTCAATCAGCTGGCTAATGACACACTTCTTGCTCCTCCCCGCAGTTCCAGCACCCAAGCACTTGACGCTGGAACGGCAGCTGAACAAGAGCGTGCTCATTGGCTGGTCGCCGCCGGAGCCAGTGGGCTACAACCTCATCGACAGCTACCACGTCTACGTGGACGGCGTGCTCAAGGTCACCGTGAAGGCCAACGAACGCACACGCGCGCTAATCGAGGGCGTTGACTCCACGCGGGTGAGATGAGCTGCCAAGAGTGGGAATGAAAGGGCTCTTAAAATCAAGAATATATCGCTTTGGGATCGACGAGACAGTGGCATCCTCAAACGAAGGATTGGCACCATCCAACCCGAAGATCGTATAATATGGCGAGTGAACCGTCCTTAAACAAGATGCAGCCATGTTGTTTTTGGACGATTTACTTCGGTTCGAATACCATTTCCGCTCACTATCTAATTTTCGCATGTTACCAATAAATAACCAAGTGCAATACACACATTTTTCGATTACTAATACACTTATATCTTTGCCTAGTACCAGTAAATCTCAGTGATCTGATCTGATACAAATCTGCTCTATCATATCGTAATCCCTTTATAATCACTTAAATACAATAACTATCCTGTATCCAATTTGGCATTCAGTCAATTACAAAATGGCATCACAATGCTTTCAAAAAAGAACCTTTAATTTATTCTTGATCTTATGAGACGTATTCCGCACTTAACCATTTACGAGACCCCATAATAAAACCCAAATCTCTGCCCCTCCAGCCGCATCGCATCAGCGTGCGGAGCGTGACCCAGAACCGGCAGACATCGCGGGATGCCGCCTGCACGATGATCATCGGACGGGACACCGCTCACCTGGGCCCCTCGGCGGTGCGCGCCTCGCACATAACTTGTTCCTCGGCGGTCATCTCGTGGCTGCCGGCCAACTCGAACCACCAGCACGTGGTGTGTGTAAACAATGTGGAGGTGCGCACCGTCAAGCCGGGCATGTACAGGCACACGATCACTGGCCTGGCGCCGAGCACCCAGTACCGGGTGACGGTGCGGGCCAAGCACCTGCGGGCCGTGGGCCAGCACGCGGCGAATGTGGGCCAGACGGGCGGAGCTGGGCGGCCGGGACAGGAGGAGGCGCCCGGAGCGTACGCCGACTTCCGCACCCTGACCAAGGGCCTGCCCGATCCGCCGCAGGAGATCCAGCTAGAGGCCGGTCCGCAGGACGGTACCATTCTGGTGACATGGCAGCCGGTTAACAGGCCCACCTCGACGGGGCCTGTAACCGGCTATGCTGTGTACGCCGATGGTAAGAAGGTCACCGACATCAACTCGCCCACCGGCGATCACGCCCTCATCGACATCGGCAAACTGGGCGTCTTCAATCCGCGTGCCGTCACCATTCGCACCAAGTCGCGCGACTCCCAGTCGGCGGACAGTGCGCCCATTTTGATTCCAAGTAAGGTCCATCCTTGTCTTCGATTGAAGCGTCTTTTAGTGAGAAACTCTTCCATGCCATTCCCAGATACGGTGCGCAACGCGGTGGCTCGCAGGGGTCCCAATCAAATGGGCATGGGACCGCAGTTGCCGCAGGGACCGCACGGGATGCCGGTGCAGCAGCAGATGGGCGGTATGCCCGGCCAGCCGGGTCAGCAGGGTCAGCACATGATGGGTGGGCAGCAGGATCACGGCCAGTACGATCCCAACCAGATGCAGCAGCAGGGCATGCAGCCGGGTCAGTCGGGTCAACCGGGTCAGCCGGGTCATCAGGTGAGTGCGACGCCGTGTTGGTGGTGATCCGTCCAACGCGTACACTGTAAATAATGTTCTGTGAACTCGTTTCATTTTATCATTTCGAATTTCAATTGGCTGAGAGCTCTTCTAAATTCTATTGTATCCTTAACTTGAAGCCAACACACCACCGAAGAATGTACATAAGTTATTCTCGTGTAAACTACCACATACCTTCTATCAACCCGAATGCTAGTCACACAAAAGGAATACCTTCAAATTTAAGAACCCATTGCTTGTAAAACCCGCGCACCTCCATACCAAGATTGAATTGGAGCTACCCGAAATCCATATGAATACCCTATACTGCATCGAATCATTTCTGAACTTTTATATTTCTGTTAAGAGTTCAATGTTGACCTTTATTTATTTAAACATTTACCTCTTCCTCACATCTTCTATCTCTGTCTATCCTCCAATATATTTTTGACTGCCTTAAATTTCCAATACTATATCCTACTACTACTACTACTACTACTTTCGGTCGATTTCTTTTGCAAATGAACCTATTATATACATACACTGAGAGAAATTGTTGAGACAATCGCACAAAATTCACACAAATTTCACATGCCAAAGAACTGCGAGACAATTGAGTCCTCGATCTTTGCGATAAGAACCCAAGCAATTGAATTGAGCCCTTCTTCTCCCACCCAAAGAACTTGTATGTATGTAAAGTTACTCACATATTCATTTTATAATTTCTTTATATAATTTTTTTGGTATTTAAGAGATATGCCAGAGTATGCAACCTTCGCTAGAACCTTTTGTTTATTTCGGTTTCTTTCGATTTTGGGTTTTCAGTTAGTTTGAGTATAGTTCACAACTAGCATGTCAGCAGCAAATTGCAATTACCAAATACCAATAAAATATATCTAAGATTTTGAACTTGGTTGAGTTGTTCCGATTTCAAGTAGAGTTCTAGCTAAGTATTGAGCGGAAATGCTGAACAATTGTCTTAAGGAAAACGCAATGCAACGAACAATTTTAAACGAAACAAGTACATGTTCATTTTCATTATATGAAACCGAAACCAAAACTGAAATCGAACCCGTACACCTTGATACCGATACCGAAACCGACAAACAGCCCGACGGAGGCTCCGGATTGTTAGGTGGCCTGCTCGGTGGCCTCTTCTCGAAACCCACACAGAATCAAGTGAACCAGAATGTAAGTTATACCCACAACATCTCTCGCATATTGAACACACACACACACACACATACACACCAAGCCACACACCACACACCACTAGCCATAAGTATCTGTAACACTTTGCGTACAAGTATCTATCTAGACTCGATGCATATTTATTTGGTTAGCTTAGCTAAAAATGATTGCTAAACAAACAATTAGGCTTGTATATTCGAGAAAATACAAAGTAATTAACAGACTTTGGTTTGCTTTTGTGTTCTTTGTAGATTTTCCTAATTTATTTTCTTAGCAAGTATGCCTTTAGGGAAGAAAAGTTGACATTTCGACTGACCCGTGCCTCTAAGTCCTTAAATATTTCAAAGGAAATAATCAAAAAGGGCTACGAATTGCATGGCTATATCTAATCTTACGATAAGTAGGTCTTAGAAGAAAGAAGTATCTTAGTCTACGCGATTGGACTCAGTGCTATAGAACCAAAGACATTAGAGTAACAAAATGCGTAACGCCATTCGAATTGTTTGGGCACGAATTTTTTGCTGGCTCAGGACATGGCGGGATATCTGGCGGGATCTCTGGCGGGACATGGCGGGATCTCTGGCGGGACATGGATTTTTAGATTTTTCTACTCTCATTTTATGCATCGTGCAAAACCAATGTATGGCCGTTACGCAATTTGACATTCTAATGTCTTCGGTGAACCCTTGTCTGATAATGCCGTCCAAATGTATCTACAAATGCCGTCCACGAATCCTTTCAAGACCTCCCTTTATACATATGTAAATACGTATGTAAGTGCTAGAAACATGTGTAAACACCCACACGAGTCACTTGAAGATACCACCCAGATACCAAACATAAAGAAACTCCGTGCTTTCTTACTACCGACCACATCCTAACCCCTCAGTATCATACTCGTTTAGCTTCGTACTCGACTATCAGCTATAGATCTTTGGCTTTTCAGTTTCTATGTACTCGATTGTATTTAGCTCGTAATGCTCCATTGAAACACTGTACACACACTAGACAACACACATGCAGCTTTCGTACCTCCTTAGTAGCCTAAAGAGATAATGCTAAAGCATCCAGCTAAATGCAGACGCCTCCACTTTGCTAAACGAAAACCTCTCTAAAGACAATGTGAATGAAAAACAGAGTACTAATTACCAATTGCAACACCCCGAAAATGAAAACCAGAGTCCAAAATCAAACGCTAACAAAATTTTAAATTCATTCAAATTGATTTAAATTCCTGCGATCGTCGCCATCACACCAACCAGGGCTATCAGCCAGGCCAACCAGGTGCGCAGCGCGGCATGGTCCCGATTCCAGGAAGACCGCAGGGACCACAGCAACAGCAGCAGCAGCCCTACGGACCCCAGGGTCCCATGGGCGGCGCGCGTTTCCGAGGACCAGTTCCCGGCCAGCTTAACATGCAGGGCCAGCAGATGCAGGGGCAGATGCAAGGGCAGATGCAGGGGCAGATGGCTGGTCAGATGCCCGGTCAGATGCCTGGCCAGATGATGGGACCACGAGGACCGCTGAACCAGCAGCAACAGCAGCAGCAACAGCAGCAGCAGCAGCAGCAGCAGCAGATGCAGCAGGGCCAGATGATTCCCGGCCAGCAGGCAGGACAACAGCAGAACCAGCCCGGTCAGCCGGGACAACCGGGTCAGATGCCCGGAGCACAGAAGAAGCCCCGCTACTTTGTGGCCATGTTCGACTACGACCCATCCACGATGAGTCCCAATCCCGATGGCTGCGACGAAGAGCTGCCCTTCCAGGAGGGCGACACGATCAAGGTAAGCCCCCTGATTCCCGAGACAAGCCAATCCACACAGAACCACCAAGACACTTTCCAGCCGCAGCTGCGATCTCACCGAGCAACCAACCAATGGTGAGCCCGTTCCGAACCGAATCGAACCGAACCGATCTGATCGGATGTGATCGGATCTGATGCGATTAGATCCGCAAAACCCAATCGAAGATGCAATTTGGATGCATTGGCGACCAATGATGAATTGGCTGCGCTTGCTTGTTGCGCTAATTGAATGAATCAGTGCATGTTTTTCCTTCGCTCCGAACTCTTTACATCCTCAGTAATCTCATCCTAAGAATCAGATTCGTTGACAGTTAACCCCGACCCCCAGAACGAACCAACCAAACCACAACTATCTAACCAAACAGTACTCTATATCCACCTATGTAGACGTTGTTCTCTCTTCTAATAGTTCCATAAATACTCGTTAAGTTAGCGTTATGCACTCAATACACTTAACAACTACAATAACCACTCAATGCCCGATTATCCATGACTTACACTAATATCTGGTTACACCGGCATGTACCCATTTTATCCAAACTAGGTGTTTGGTGATAAGGATGCCGATGGCTTCTACTGGGGCGAGTTGCGCGGTCGCAGGGGCTATGTGCCGCACAACATGGTCTCCGAGGTGGAGGACACCACCGCCGCCATGACTGCCGGTGGTCAGATGCCCGGTCAGATGCCCGGCCAGATGCCCGGCCAGATGCCCAGCCAGATGGGCCAGGGACAAGGAGTGGGAGTGGCCGTGGGCGGCACCGCCCAGGTGATGCCCGGCCAGGGTGCTCCGCAGCAGAGCATGCGGAACGTGAGCCGCGACCGCTGGGGTGACATCTATGCCAACATGCCCGTGAAGCGGATGATCGCGCTCTACGACTACGATCCCCAAGAGTTGAGTCCCAATGTGGATGCCGAGGTAAGTCTCATCATTGGATCCTTACTTGCCATTCCATTTGTTGCTCATTCGATTTGCATACACTAGCGCCGGGAAAGTCAGGCAGGCAGTCTTATGGGAGGTTTATTTGGCGGCTTATTGCCAGGATTTAGCCAACATATTGTGGCCCCTGTGGCCAGTGAAGTGAGTCCAGTCCCATAGATAAGAGTAAAGAATTCACTGTTGCTAGGAGCTCATAAGTAGAGTACATAACTAACTTGTGATACTTTGGAATCGCCTAAATAGTTCCACACTGCGTATACGTAATATTTACTGTAGGCGGCTCTTGTCGCTTATTACTTGGAAAAATCATTACGTTCCTGGCTCAGATTAGAATCGAATACCACAAAGCTATTCCACTCTATTGCAATTCTTTTCGATGATAAAAAAAGACCAGCTTGAACACATGCTCCCATAACTTTGTTGTTTTGAAAATGCGCAGAAGATATTTGGTTTATGTAGATATATTTGTTAACAGCTCAAACTAATAGCGCATATTTGACATCTTTCCCGCCAACAGCAGGTGGAATTGTGTTTCAAGACGGGCGAAATCATACTCGTTTACGGTGATATGGATGAAGACGGTTTCTACATGGGCGAACTGGACGGCGTGCGCGGCCTGGTGCCGTCGAACTTCCTGGCGGACGCGCCCGACCAGTACAACAACCAGATGGGTCCGGGCGGAGTGGCCGGCCGCGGCGGTCTGAGCCAGAGGGGCAGGGGTCAGGGGCCAGGAGCGAGGGGGCCGCCGCCCCCGCCACGTGACAACATGATGCCCGGAATGGGCGGGCGCGGCCAGCCGGGCAAAAGTAAGTAGGCTTTGTGCAGATCGAGCTGCCAATGGACTTTCGCATTTTGGTTTACGTTCACTTCTTTGGTTTTGTCTTTGGTTCGAATTGAATGCGAATTAACCAGTGATCGAACGATACTGATTCGATAGCGATTCGAAGAACTAATACGGGCTAACAAGAGTTAACGTATATTTATTTAAACGTTTTTTGGTTCCTTTTCGGTTGATTCGTTTTCAAAAGAAATCTGAAATACTACAAAATAATACAAAACATGTACTTTAATCTCGAAAGCACTTTATAAGATGAATAACTATGCAGGTTCTTCCAGACTACATAACAATTCCACCAGCGGGATAATATATACAATACTATAGCAATCCATTTCTGTTCCGATGCCCCAAGTGTTTTTTTTTCATTTTCATTTTCGTATTTTGATTTCGTTTTCCAAACGATATATATATTACAAATCAGCGAACACAGCGAATATTTTCACTCCTCTCTTTCTGTCTTAACTCTCTATCGCAAAATAATTTCAAGTGAAACAAAACAGTTACAAGTTAAATACAATTTCTGATTTTGAACGCCGCTAATTTGATTTCCATTACGATTCCGAGCGAACTTTTGTACAACTCTTTTCTCCCATTTTTTTCCTTAATCTTAAATGCGATTTTCGTTGATGTACAAAATCAATAATTTCCAGCACCAATCAGTTTGATATCTCCAACTTTTATATATATATATAAATATTTCCTTCTTGTTTTGTACGACTTTTGTTTGGATTCCAATGATATAATTCTAATCCAATAAAAATATACAATAGATAGTTGTTGTTCTTGTTGTTGTACACACACAATATTACATTTTCCCGCGCATCTAAGCATCCCCATTGATCAATCACCCATCATCCTGAATTGAAGAAGTTATAAAATGAAAGTCCGAAAATTTGGGGCCATTATTCTTACGTTCATGTTCATAACCTAAGCCCCTTGTATATAACTCTTCACCTAGCATTATTTTACCTGTCTGTACCGATAATTTATTATTTATAACTTCCCTCATCTTTCTCGTATCCTGTCTTTCCCTGTCTTGCGTGCCTCTTTCTAGACGTGTATGATTCTAGATGGTCTCTTGCATGATACTTATACTAAAGTATATTTGAATACAGTTTTGGTTTGTTTTCGGTTTGGTTACGATTTGGTTTTTAGTGAAGCAATTGTTTGCCTTATCGATACGAATTACTTGCACCTGATTGCCGAATGAGTTCATTGCTAAGTTGATCACCACCGAGCCACAGATCACCGTAGATCACAAAGTCAACCTCTGAATGTGCCTTGTGCCGATGAAGAAGTAGTGCTAATGTGAAAGTCACCCAGAATGCCCCAATCAACCGATGGGAACGGAACCAGAGCCAGAGCCAGAGCCAAAGATTAGTGGTGGAGGCCAGTGGGAGGACAGATCCGATCGGGACAAAGGTCCTAGGGAACTACGGTCGAGTAGAGGAGTATGGTACCGCTAAGCTATGAACCCTTTGAGTCCCGGATACCCAAAACCGAAACCGAAACCCAAAAAAAAAAGAAAAGAAATCCCCCAATATCGTTTGAACGAGTACGAGTATCTGCTTTTCGAATCAAATATTTCTTTTAGCGTTGATTCCTCTCGTTGATTTCTCGTTTTTGGATTTTCTGTTCGTTTTCCGTTGACTACTTTCCTTCTGGTTTTCTGAATGTTGGTCTTGTTTGTTTGCCAATTAGCTTCTTCGATATATATATATTTGATATTTGTTCATTTTTGTTCAAAATATAACAACAAAAACAACAACAGCATCAGCAAGGGCTCCAAAGCACCAAATCCAAAATATTTCGATTCTCAAATAAATACGAGCAGTATTTTGTGTTTAATGTACATTTTATATTGTAAAATACCTAAATCAAACTTAATCTACTTATCTCCATATAACTACTACTTATTTATAATGCAATATATACATACTAAGCCTATTAAGTGCCCGTCCACATGCTATATAACATGTATCTTATCTAAAATATACTCTTAACTGCATACAAAAGCTTGTGCAAATGCAAGAAATGAACCGATATCTGAACATAAGTAATTCAGAGAACCCAAGAAGTCCGAAAGCGGGGTTCAAATAGGGCTATATTTCGTTAGCCAAACGAAGAAGGTAATATTTAATTCAATTCTAACCTAGTTACGTATGGACCAATGATCACTATCAAATCAAATGCAATCATTTAACTCAACTGTCTTTCTCTTACATTTAACCAATCCGATTTAATCTGAATCCTCTTGGCGCCTCTTTCTCTCGTTTCAATTATGTCTTTGCGCAAACCAAATTTAAAACATAACTTTTTTGAAAATACCCGTATTGTATTTGGATGTATGTAAAGCGGGACCTTTGGGTCCGTTCAAATCTTTTATTTAACCCTTTCATTTTGAGTTGTCGATTGATTTGTTCGTGAAGTGCGGTGAATTATATAGAACAGCGATTACTTGATTAACCCCAACTGTGCGCGGAAATGAGTAAATATATATATATCCAATCTTTGCAACCTTAACAACATTAATCACTGTTTCTGAACAGGCAGCTCCGAATTATCTGCGAATTCAACGCGAAAAAATTCAATTTTTCGATTCGTTTTTATTTCGATTTTAATGCCTAAGTTCGACCTGAGTTTCAATTACGATATTTTCCGTTTTGACTACTACAACTTCTTTCAAATAATTTTTTGTAATGGTCTGCTGTGGTAAATGTGAAGTCTTTATGTTATATTCGTTGCTATAGATGCTCGCCCTGCTTCCCCTACACTGTTAGACAACACGGGCCATCCTGCCCCCGATCACCAAACGCAGGTAAATACTCTTTCTCTTTTGTTTCCTTTGTTTTGATATATCGAACGTATGAAAAGAAAGCAGAGATATACAATACTTTCATTTGTTTGTTTGTGAAAATAAATGCTAAAGCTAATATAAAGAAAAGAGTTAAGAATACGCCAAATGTAACCACAACTGTTCACCTAATACCCGAAACCGTATACCATCTTATTATTGCTACAAAACAGATACAAAACTACAACAACAGTTACCTACTCCTGTACCTCTACCTCTACCTCTACCTGTACCTATATCTTTACTTGCTATCTCTGTCACCCATTACTTTTCGGTTCCGATTCTCGGCCAAGCAAAAAGCCCCCCGTCCCCCCACTGAATAGAGAGCCCAGAAACCACGTATTATCCCGACACTCAGACAGAAGAGGAACACGCCATCTCTTTCCCCCGACATACTGCTATCGCTTTCCTGCACACGCGACGGCTGTGTTGTGCGGACTCTTTCACACTCTCCATTACTCGACTTGATCGTCCATTGTTCCGTCCTCTTTTCTCTCTCTCTGCCTCTCTCTCTCTTTATGTCTATAGCTAATACGCATACTTCCTATTTCACCGTGTCTATATGTATCCATTCCAATCCCGATTCAAACGCTTACAGTACAGTACTTGAACATTCCAATTAACGATACCAGAATCAACTGATTTATATATACCTATATATATATAGTACATATGTATAGCTAGCAACATGTTTATCTTGTAGTTAACATCCAAAGACAACAGCGACATTATAAATACAAACATTCCAACAAATCAGCAAGGCTCGTCCGTGTAAAGATATGTACAACCCAAGATCGTTGCATTCATAGTCTGTAATATACTCGTAATCGAACTCAAAACAGAAGGTGTATGTGTGTATAGTCTGTATATAAAATCTGACAAGGATTTTCAACAAATATCAGCAACAATTTCCACAGCAACAATCATTTACATCGATTTTTCTTCAGTTGGTCGTTCACTTGATTTCATACATTTCAATTACCTTGGGTTTTCTAACTATTTCACTGCTTTTTATTTCTTTAAGTGTTTTCGGTTTGCCAATATCTACTCAGCTTACAGACTTTCCAAGCTTTTCAGCCATTTATCTGCCAAGAAAAGTGGATAGATAAATTCATTTTGCTCCCCAGAATATATAAATAAATCCCCAATAACATCAGATGAATTGAAAAATAATATGCTTAAACTTGGTTTTCAATAAAACTTGAAAACTTTACTTGAAAACATGGCAGATATTATTTTTTTTTTTAGCCCACAGAGCAAACAATACAAATTCCGGACAGTGAGATAAAAAGCTTAACAATTTGTGTACAAATCTATTAACACAGTATCCGAAACTCCTTATCTTAGAATCGCCTTATACCAGATACCAGATACCAGATACCATATATGCCAGATACAAAATACACACTCAAGTAAACGTATTGCTGATAAGACGCGATGCATACCTATAAATATATATATATATCTATATATGAATACATTTTTGTTTTCTTACTGGTATACGCTACTAATTATATTAATTAATTGCTACTACTACTATATGGAATATTGGATGTAATGTGTAAAAATTTCTATGTGATTCACTGTATGTGTAATACCTTGAGTTTTTGGTTTCGTAAGTTGCATTTTCAGTTCTTTTCCCCGCCTCAGTTGAACCCAAACTGTATTTGCTTTCGATTACTATCAACATTTCCCCGCATATGATTTCCTCTGGCTCACCTTCGCCAAGTATAAGTTACCCAACTAGATTTGCATTTAGCTTTTACTTTTATCAATGCTCAAACACCGAAGTGAAATATATAGCAAAACGATGACTCAAAACACAATGTTTGATTTGATTTGGTTCGTTTAGTTCATCGACACAACTCATTCCGGATGCCATAGATCCGCAGATTATTTTATGATTTCGATGATTGTCCAGACACGTTCACGAAACACAACCTTCGACATTTCATCAAGGTAGTGTAAATAAATAGAGTTCTAGAACCATAGAAGTCCGGTTTGAAGAGGGACATTCATAGTCCCTTCGCACTGTCCGAAGTTTTTGTCAGAATGCGTATCTTTTTGGAAATATATATTTTTTATTTTTGCCATGCAAGTTTTCGTTCTTTTTTGGCCTTAGGCTCGTTTCTATTGATTTCAGTTGACAAACTTCTGAGAAACGTTGCTAGTTCTACATATTTTCGTTTCGTTCCAACCAACGGAAGTGTATAAAGAATCAAATCACGTAATGCTACTGTTACTCGTTTCAATTGAGAGCCGGAAATCAAGCCTCCTGCTACCCTCGCTCCATGCGGAGATGATGGCACTTGGAGTCCATTGATTGCGTACCGGCCTAGCACTATGTTTCATCTAGAGCGGATCCCCAGAATCCCCCAAGGGATTCGAGTTCGCTTTTTTGACTAGCCTCTTTCCGTAGTTAATGAAACGTAGCTGCCACTAATAACACAACCAATCCATCAACAGCAACTCGGCGGCAAATGCTCGAGGACCTCTCGCTAAACTAACCGATTACCCAGCTAACAGAAAACATACTTGAGAGAGCATTGAAAGAAATCCATGAAAACAATTAAGAAACCCCATAAATATACGTACCATATATATATTCTTAACAATTAGTTTGCCATTCGTTTAATGCGCCCACCTGATACCCGATTGGAAGTCCGACTAACGTGTCTTTTGTGGTCCTTGGACCAACGCCACCTTGCAGGGGATGATCGGTCGCGTTGGTAATGTCGGAATGCAGCAGCAGCAGCAGCAACTCCAACAGCAGCAGCAGCAGCAGTACGGTCAGCAACAGACGCAGATGGGACAGCAGCAGCAGCAACAGCAGCAACAGCAGCAAATGGGACAACCTGGAATGATGGGTCAGCAGATGGGTCAGCCGATGGGTCAGCAGATGGGACAGATGGGACAAATGGGTCAGATGGGTCAGCAGCAGATGGGACAGCAGCAGCCGCCGACGACACAGGCGCAAACGGGCGGACTATTCTCCGGCGCGACTAGCCTGCTCTCTGGTGCTACCTCGGCTGCCACCGGTGGTCTATTTGGGTCGAAGCAACCGCCCAAGACGGATCCAATGCAACCACAAGGTGGTGTGCAGCCAGCGCAGCAACAAGCAAACGCCTTTGGTGCCCAGCAGCCTGGCATGGGCATGCAGCAGCAGGGGGGGATGCAGCCCGGAATGCAGCAGGGCATGCAGCAGGGCATGCAGCAGGGGATGCAGCAAGGGATGCAGCAAGGGATGCAGCAGGGAATGCAGCAGGGCATGCAGCAGGGGATGCAGCCCGGAATGCAGCAGCAGCAGCCACAACAAGTGCCACCGCAAGCCCAGGCGCCGCCTCCAGGACCGGGCGCCGGATTGCTGGGCGGGCTCAAGGGCATCGCGGCAGCGGCGCCCGGCGGCGATGTCCTGTCGAAAGGCAAAGACCTCTTCGGAAAATTCGGGTTCGGCTTTGGCAAATAACCCCGGTCATTCTATAGGGTCCTGTTATATTATTCGTAGATTAGACTTATTATTACTATTATGATTATGATTATGATTATGATTATTGCTATTGATTACGATTACTAAGCTAATATAAAATGGAACACAAATGATAATGATGGACAGACAAACCAATGCTAAAGTTAAAACCCAAGCCCGGTTCCGAGCTGTAGGCCAATGCATATGTTGTTGTTGTCGATATGATATGATATGATATGACTAATAGTACTAATACTAATGGTAATATTTTTTATTAATTAAATTAATGGAAATATTATGAGTGACCGACGAGCAACAGCAGCATCGGCCAAACAGCCGGGCCACAGAAAATCCAAATAAAAAAAGCAAAGCCACAGAAAAGCCCAGATAAATTGTTGTAAAATTATTTAACAAATTGCCTGCCGGTTTAGGTGACTGCAACTCCATTAACCCACTAAAAGATAAAGCTCTATAATAGAAGACCACACACACAGACGCAATACACACCACTCACATAGATACTGAACACACATATATTATACAAATACAAATACAAGTAAGGGAGGAGAAGAAATATATTATATACATACATTATATTTACAATTATTTGTTAACGCACATTGTTAAATTTGCTACTGTTGCTGACCAGTTTATAAATAATAACCAAAAAGAGACGAGGAATGAAAGAGAAGAGGAGAAATGAGAAGATAAAGCAAACACATAAGGTAAACTAAACCGAACATAAACATAAACATACATATATTATATGTATATATTTAAAATATATTGAAAACTAAATTGAAATACACTAAAATTACATTTATAAATCAAAACACAACCGAATGTTGAGCAATGTCATACAAGCGGAATGACGAAAAACAAAAATACATACATTAAAGTAAATAAATAAATCGATATGGTACATATTTACATATATTCGCATATACTAAATACGATTTCGCATTCAGGCCAACCTCAAATCGGGCGCATTTCCAAGACTAGGCGACCTTGACTTCCAGTCCAGTACAAGAAGATCACTTTCCTCAACCTCAACCCCAACCGCAGCCCCAACACCAATCTATTCTCAACCCAGTGATAGCCTGAGCCAAATACCAACCCAAATCCCAAAATTCCCGGTTCGAAACAACCCAACCCGAAAGCCTTCGACTGCTCGACTCAAAACTTCTATTCAACGCCCCACTTTCTCAGTGTTTGATGTCCATAGAAGCCATATGCGATAAATATCAGTGTAACTTAAAGCAAACCAAAGACCAAGAGAGATCTACTCCTACTTAAATACATATATGGGATACCCAATGGCAAATACAAATATAATGTACTAAGCACAAGATCGTAGCGTTATAGACCCAGAACACCCTGAACACCCAGGAGATCCAGGAGACATGTTCACTAAATTCAGCAAGGAGACTTTCTCATACCTTCTTTAGAAACTTAAGCCGCCCCTTGCTACTAAGTACTTCCTATCGCTATCTATCTACCCCTGCCTATGCAAAGTACACTATTTCGAACGTTATTTTAATACTACCAATTACAAATTACCAACTAACTTACGCCGCATACGACTAATTCGGTTTCTCTCCAGGCGGGAAGCCTGCTTTTCAACCGGATCGAGAAAAGATAGTCAAGTGTTTCCAAATGTTTAAATTGCTTTGACTCAGCTCTCATACACTCGGCATACAGAAACAAATACATCGCGTACCTCTTGCTTTACGAAGAAATACAAACATTCAAGATGTGAAGAGTATAAAGATAACAAAGTATATTAATGACAAAATTTACCAAACAAATACATTAAACGAGCCATGTTTAAAGAGCGCATAGAGTTGCATATGTAAAGGATTACTTTAGACACACAGACACCTACACACACACACACACACACAAAATCCACAGAACGACACATAGATACACTGCAATTAAACCGAACACTGTAAATTGTAAGCTGGCAAATATGTAGTAGGCGGGCAGAACAAATTAGATATCGGAATTAGCCAGATGTTATGAATGGAGACGGACTTACCGAAATCGAAACAAGCGTTAACTTTTCCCACGTAACTGATTTAAATCTTACAATCTTACAATCAAATCACTGTATTATTCAGCCACATCGGAACGACAATTACAATCTACAAGCCCAACTTCGGCGTCCACCGAAGCCGTTCTGTTCCCGGAAATCCAGAAAATATATCACATCCGGAATACGGGGACAGACTGGAAACACACACAGACACACAGACCCAAACACAGATACAGTTTCGGATACAGATACAGAAGCAGACAGACACACTCTATAATCATTTACTAGAAACACCTATACAAGTATACAACAGTTTATTTCCTCGGAAACCAAGCGAACAATATAGAATAAATGAAATTAAATTCCCATTAAACACACACTGGCAAAAACAGAAAAAAATGATAATGGCAATGAGTACTATGCAATATGAAATGGATAAACATAACAAATGAAAACCAACTAAATTGTTATACTGTATTATTATACTTTTTCTATAAATTATAATTTCCTTATTGAACGACAAAAAGCGAAAAAATAATAATTAAACAACAATTCAAAAAAAATACACCCCAACCAGCAATTCAATTGTGGTCAATGAGTGGTCAATTCATTTTTTCGCGCAGTTCGGCGACATTACTCATACGACACGTATGCCGCCACACAGATTAGCTTTTTGAGTTCCACGGCACGAGGCGTTCTTTATGGGCACCTGTTTATTCAAGCTGGAGGAGCACTTTCGAGCTTCATTTTATCTTGATATATTCGTAGGGGAGTACTATTTACTGTATTTTTATAATGCACAAAAGTATTTACACAGTCGCTAACTAAGCACCTAAATCTAAGTAGTTAACTAACTGCCACCGCTGGCTAATTACGCAATTTGCGTGCGAACGTCAAGCGGTAACAGATCCGGAGATAAAAATGCCGTGACGTTCGCTCATAACCGGATCAAACAGACAGGAACGAACCAAGGCATTTGGATCAGATAGGAACGTGACTACAGCTTGGCATCCAGAACAGGTGCTTCCTTTTCCACCTGCAGATGGCTGCATAGCTGGCTGTCCTCCTGGCAGAACCTCACATTGCCCATCACGGGCAGCATCTGCTGCACTTCTAGGCTCATGTTCTGCAGGATCAGCAGGACATCGTGGCTGGCCATCTCCTTGGCCACTGAAATCAGCATCTCACTGGAGGTGGCATCGAACTGCATGAAGCGGGAGCAATCGAGAACCACTGGGAAATCATTGTGATACAATCTGCAGGCTCCTCGCAACTCAGATCGCAGTGCATCCACGCCTGTGTAATAGACATCCGACTGGGGCACGATGTGCACATAGTAGGTGGACTCATGCTAAGAAGGGAGCTCAACTATTAAATCAAAGTTATTTATATAACCTTAATACGTACCTGTTTCAGGGCGACCTCGAATTTGGGATTGCCCAGGCGCAGCAATATAAACACCATGCTGAGTACAATGCCAAAGAGCAGACCCAGCTCCACGCCGGCCACCAAACAGATGATGAAACTGCCCACCCAACTGAAGAAGTCCTTCTTGTTGGTCTGCCAAAGTTCCTTAACGGGTGCCAGATCAATCTGTTTGAAGGGGAAAGTATATACCTAAGTATATTTAGATGATAAGAACGCCCATACGCACCATAAAGATGACCGCTGCTATTAACACGGCGGACAGGGAAGCCTTGGGAATGTACTGAAAGTAGGGCGTCAGGATGCTCAGGGCGGAGAGCACTATCAGTCCCGTGTAGATGCCCGCCATTGGCGTTCGAACTCCAGATGCCTGACTCACAGCCGAGCGGGTGAAAGCTCCGCAGGTGGGCATGGCGCTGAAGAAGGAGCCGGCTATGTTGCACAGACCCAAAGTAAGCATCTCTTGCGAGGCATCCAGATTGCCATCCTTAACTGGGTAGAGAGAGGAAGAGAAGAATGCCCATCATTATAGGCAGACTGCATTCCCGCCTGATATTGCGTATACGCACCGAAGGCTTTGGCAATGGCCACATTGGCCAGAACCGCCACAATGGGCACCACAACAATTCCGCTGCCCAGCTCATGAAGGATATCCGTGAACACATAGGTGCGGTTCTGGTACTCGAAGGCGAAGGGCGGCAACTTGATGCTGGGCATGGCCGAGGAAACCTTTGAGGAAAGCGCAAAGGGCACCGCCTCGATGGAGCTCCTCTTCACCCAGATGAAAACCAAAAGGCCAGTGAAGAAGACAACCAGAGCATTGCGGGAAATACTGATGTACCACAGGATCTTCTTCAGGCGACGCGTTACAGGCGTGTCCTGCTTGAAATTCACTTGCGACAGAAGCTAGCGGGGAAAACCATCACAAAAGTGAAAATTATTGGTATTTTTAGGATGTGAAGTATGCATTATTGATTGACATCTACTAATCTAATCTATTTAGTGCAATTTTTTTGAAAACGTGAACACGTCAGCAGTTAGCTAATGTCTGATTATTCGTTAAGCTAATAAACAAATTAATTCGGGTTATTCGAAGCCTTGTAGACAATATGGTTATGGATCACTTATTTATATAAGGTTTTGTATAACTTACCCTCAACAAAAGTAGCACAACCATGCAGGATATTCCCATTGCGGCATCACTGGGTCGAATGTTGGTGAAAAAGGCACCGATTGAGGGGAATCCCTTCATGCGAACCCCCAAGAGATTCTTGATCTGGGCAAAGACCACGATCAACGCGGTGCCCGATGTAAAAGCCTTGGTCACCGGGGCTGGTATGAAGCTCACGATGAATCCCAGCTGGAACACTCCCATGGCCAGCTCCACCAAGCCGGCGAGAAAAGCCAGAACGATGACCACCTGCACCGGCTTGTCAGCGCAGAATTGCAGGGTGAGAATGGCCATCAAGCTAGTGGGTCCAATGGACACCTGTGGTATCGTCCCGAAGAACACATAGATGATGGAGCCAATGAAGGCGGAGTACAGCCCGTACTCCGAGGAGAGTCCTGCCAGCGCGGCATAAGCGATACTTTGAGGTATGATGGTCAGGCCCAAGGTGATGCCAGCAATCAGATCCGCGAACGCTTGCTCCCGATCGTAGCTGGTAATCCAACTGAGAAAGAATATGCGCCGCACCAGCCAGTGGGCCTCCTTGGGCTTGGAGTACTTGCTGGCCACGTCCAGGTCGACGGTGTGTGCCTGGCCATAATAATCATCGCCATTCTGGGCCGTGTACTTCTCCTTCTCCTCGCAGCCAGCTGAAAATGGGGCAGGAAAGAAGACTGCTTAGTAGGATTTCGAGTTGAGCACAGCTAATCCGTGGGTCCTACGATCGTAAATGGTGGCCACAGTGGCCTCCGGTTGCCCAGTGGCTCCCTTATTGCCACGACTCCGACCATTGCCTTTGGGCCACAAGCCGAACGTGTGCTTTCGCGGCCAACGCATTGTGTACTGATTTTCAGACGCGGTTTCCGTTTCGCCAATGGCCGGGTACAATCGCTCTGCCAGCCAAAATTGTTTGATTTTGTCAGGGGAATTTTAGCATTTTAATAATAATAAAAAACGAACGAACTCTCCAGTTCAGCTTGTTTGCGGCCGAGCCGAGCCGAAAGCCCAGCGAAAATGAAAAAAAGCGCAAAAATTTAATTGTGTGA